TTATATTTAGTGTTTTTTTTTTAATTGGACATTATTTTTGTAATCATTTCATTTTTATTATTAGTATGAGTTAAGTTCTTGAAAACGCATGCCTTATTGCATTTTGGTAGATGTATTGCATTGTTTTGGAAATCTATCAGCGATCTTGTGGATTAATTGTAGAGTTTATTAATTTTCTGTATACATTTCTTCAGGTCATCTTGGGTTATTCTRGTCGATAAAATCACTTACGATGTTTTGTTCAAAGTTGATGTTGCTTGTGATACTAGTATAATAGATGCTGTCAGTATGGAGATGCAGGTATACATAGTAGAACTTAAAGAATACGGCTACGTAGATAGTATTTCATCATTTGTTCGCGAAGTTTGAAGGCTTTTGGTTACCTTGTTTAATGGTGTTGGATGTTGAGATATGGGGCATCAAACATGTTGGATGGAGTTTGAAGGCGTTTGGTCACCTTGTTTGATGGTGTTGTTGAATGAAGCATTAAAAATGTTGGATGGAGGTTGAAGGCGTTTGGTCACTTTGTTAGATGGTGTTGGATCCTGTTGGATGGAGAAATAAACATGTTGGATGGAGTTTGAAGGTGTTTGGTCACTTTGGTTGATGGTATTTGAATGTTATTTCGTGGAACATTAAACATGTTGGATGGAGTTTGAAGGTGTTTGGTCACTTTGTTAGATGGTGTTGGATCCTGTTGGATGGAGAAATAAACATGTTGGATGGAGTTTGAAGGTGTTTGGTCACTTTGGTTGATGGTATTTGAATGTTATTTCGTGGAACATTAAACATGTTGGATGGAGTTTGAAGGCGTTTATCCACTGTGTTTGATAGAGCATTAAACATGTTGGATGGAGTTTGAAGGCATATTAAACATCATGATGGAGTTTGAAGCCCACCTAAAAAGAATTTGGATGGAGTTTGAAGGCATATTAAACATCATGATGGAGTTTGAAGCCCACCTAAAAAGAATTTATTTTAATAATGGTATAATAATGTTTGGTCGTCCTTTATCTTGTATGATTTCTTTTTCTTGTAATTCAGGTCACTGTTTCACCCTTCCAAGAATCACGTGTCACAACAGTGTTACCATTCAATGATGAATTGTGGGTAGGATTGGGGAACGGTCAAGTATTAATCTTTGATATTCAAGTGGGATCCAAGGAGGATAG